AAAATTATTGGTTTCAATAATTTTTTACTTGAATTCTATCAACTTTACCGAAAAATATCAAGAGATAAAAATTATTTATTTTGTTCTCATAGAGCTCTGAGAATTTTTTCAGAATTTTATATTAATTTTTTAGTACTGCATTTTCTTGCATTTTCTTGAAGTACTAAAAAGTTAACACAAAATTCTGAAAAAATTCTCAGAGCTCTTTGAAAACAAAATAAGCAATTTTTATCTCTTAATATTTTTCGGTAAAGTTAATAGAATTCAAGTAAAAAATTATTGAAACCAATAATTTTGTAGATATTTACGTAAATATCTTAGAAAATAGAGGTCGTATAAAAAATTTTTTCAAGCAAAAGTTGTTTGCTTTTTTACGTGGAATAACATCCCGTAATAAAAAATATGTATTTCTATTTAAAAAAGCAAAGTTGACCTTGTCCTGACCTTGGCGACGTTATCTTAGGTCAAATAACTACTGTCATTAAATGCAACTTTTTAAGCCTTACAACTTTTATTCGAAACATTTTTCTCTAAAATGCTCCCCCGCCGAGTTTTCTTGCCGTTGCCGAACTTATGGGACACACTGTATGTATGTATATGTATATATATATATATATATATATATATATATATATATATATCGATCGAAGAAGTGGTGTAGTGTCTAAAGCAACAGACTCATGATCCAGAAATGTCTCATGGCCCAAGTTCGTGTCCCAGTGCCAGTGAGAGTTTTTAAATGTGATGTAACACTGGAATCAAGTAATCTAAAATTTTCAAGTAAAATTAGCAAATACTGTGACATTTGTATATATAAATAGTTTCTGTTAGAAAATAGAACCGAATAAGGATATTCCGACACGTCATTTTTACGTCTCTTTATGACGTCATTTTCACGTTTTATTATAACGTCGGTGGGCTATGATTTATTCCAGTCATTTTTATGTCATTATTACATGATTATAAAAAGATAATTGACATCACGAATGACCAAAAATTAACGTGAAAATCACGTCACGTTGCTGCCTGGGTAGAATTGTCTCTTTCTTAATTATCGTTAAAATTGTCAATGTAACGAAGCATTATATATGTGTACGTTTAATATTTGATATATTTATTAATGTTGTATATATATTATATAATTATAGATTCCTTTCATTTAAATTAGTTAAATAAGGCATAAATTATCTAAATAGTGTGTTTTTCTTTACACACATTATTAGCACTTAATGAGACATTAATATTAATGAAAAAGTAATTGTAAGTAAAATTAAATTTTTTTAAACGAAATTTTTATTATGAAAATAAGGAAGATAAAATTACATGATAAACACTTAAAAAATCTACTATTACTGTCATTTTCGTAGATTTTTGATATTATAGATAAAAAAGATAGTTAATTTTGTTTTTATTTTGCTTAATATAATAATATATCATACAACAAGATGTTTATACTAAACAATGTAATATTATTTTATGTATTTTTATATTTCTATATATTAACTATACAGAATGTCTGACACAAAACACAACACTTTAACGCATATGTGCAGATGGAAGATGTTAAACTGAATAAATAAACCGCTATTATTTTTTAAACAATCACTTAAAATCTCGAAATATTAGTAAAAAAAGATTAGTGTCTTAGTGTCCGCGACACTATGGAACGAGATATGTAGACTTGAGCTTATAAAAAAATGATTAAAAGACAACTTAGGTTAGGGATTACGGTAATTATGTATTTTAACGGAGCAATCTCCAATGACCTTGATCTTGACATATGTTATAGAGGTCACCCTCCTGAGTAACCCTCAAAAAGTTTTAGGCGGCGCTCGTTGTGACCTCTATAACATATGTAAAGATCAAGGTTGCTTCGTTAAAATGCATAATTACCAATTATTTTTCATACACATCTCGCTAAGAAACAGTAGTCTCAATCATTTTCGATGATTTCCGATTTTGTCTACAGAACTTGTCATAAAGTATCGTGTGTATAAAAACTTGCTAATCTACTTCTATTAATATCTTGAAATTTTAGTTGAAAAAACAATAGCGGTCTTTTTACACATGTTAATGTACTCTATTTGCATACATTGGCGTGTCTTATGTACCGTATATATTATGTTATACAATGTATCCCAGACTCGTCTCCGTAATGTTAGTGGGAATATAGAACGAGTTAAGATGAACATAAAAGTCCTATGCTGTTTTGCGATATTTGCAGTAATAGTTAAAATATTAATTATGGAAGATTAAGAAAAAAATGCACGCTGAAAGAAGGAGAAGCGCTCGAGCTAGCGCAGTCTAGTTTATACTAGGTGCGCAACTAAGTTTCCGGGTTTTTTTGATCAATGAAAAATGAAAAATTTCAAGAGAAATATAAAAAATGGTTTATTCAAAGTATCGTCCCTCGCTAGCTACACATTTTTGCCACTTCTCTGGCAATATATAAATACCGCGACGATAAAACGACGCGTCTTTGGACCGAAACCATTCATCCAACCAATTTTGCACTTCTTCGAAATTGGTCAAGTGTAGCCCAGCTAAGCCATGCGCTATCGACCGGAACAAGTGATAATCGGAAGGGGCCAGGTCTGGTGAATACGGCGGGTACGGTAGCAGATCCCATTTCAGCGTTTTGATGGTGTCCTGAACGATGGAAGTGCGATGGCACGGAGCGTTGTTGTCGTGCTGCAATATCACTCGTTCGTGTCTTGTATCCCATTCTGGCCGTTTTTCGAGCAATGCATGGTTCAAATTGATCAGTTGTTGTCGGTAGCGATGCCCATTGACAGTTTCGCCCGGTTTCAGCAGCTCATAGTACACGATTCCTTTCTGGTCCCACCAAACGCAGAGCATTGTCTTCTTTCCGAAGCAATTTGGCCGTGCCGTCGATGTTGATGCTTCGCCAGGTGAAAGCCACGATTTTTTGCGTTTGGGATTCTCGAAATATATCCACTTCTCATCGCCAGTAACAATTTGATGCAGGAAACTCTTTCTTTCATGCCGCAAAAGCAAAATTTCGGAAGTGGCTCTTTGATTTTCCATCTGTCTCTCAGTCAACTCATGCGGCATTCATTTTCCTTCCTTTTGAATTTTTCCCATGGCATGTAAACGTTTGGAAATACCTTGGCGAGTCATGTTTAATGCCTCCGCAAGTTGATCTTGTGTTTGCGTATCATCTTCATCCAATAACGCTTACAGATCGGCGTCCTCAATTGTTTTTGGTCTTCCGGAGCACTCCTTGTTCTTAGTGTCGAAATCGCTACTTCTGAAGCGTTTAAACCAATCTTCACAGGTAGTTTTCGATGGTGCATGTTTGCCGTAGACCTCCTCAAGCAAACGACGTGCTTCAGCTGCATTTTTTCAAGTTAAAGCAGAAAAGCAAAGCTTCCCGCAAATGCTGTTTATTTGGCACAAAATTCGACATCTTCATTGTTAGAAAAAATATTTTTGCGTTGCGATATGTGTTGGTATTATGACTGGTTATTGTTGACAGATGTCCAAGCTATAAAAGAAACACAACTTTAGACATGTATGTCGACTACATGTGTCGTTAGCGCCATCCATGTGTAAAACCCGGAAACTTAGTTGCGCACCTAGTATATCGCCGGCGTCCGACGAAAGGAAAAATAACGCGTCGCTGCCTGTACTTGTATCGCCGGAGTCCTAGGCTCGATAGCCGCTTCTTCGTTAATCCTTCACCGGGCGCGTGGCGTGTAAATTTCACATCATCTCATTTTTATTATAAATGTTAAATTAATTAATATTTTTCGTTTTTTGTTAAATAATATTCATTGTTGCACATATCTTAAAGTCTGGTAACAATTTCAAATTTTAATTTTAATGTTTACTCGGTAATAATTGAATTTATATTGCAGTATGCTTGTAACATTTATTTTTTACAAAGTGTTGAAAAACTTTAAAAATTTTATAGTTTATTGCAATAAATTTAATTTTGCATGATGTAATCGACAAAGAGGAGGTTCAAAAAATATGAATTCGTAAGTAGAATTATAAAAATTTAATATATATAAAAATCCTACACTCTTTCTCTCTCTCTTTCCCTCCCTCTATCTCCCCCTTTTCTTCTCTCTCCTTCTCCCTCTCTTTCCCTCTCTCTCTCTCTCCCTCCTTCTCGTTTTCTCTCCATCCCTTTCCCTTCCTCTTCCTCCCTCTCCCTCCCTCTTCCTCCTTCTTCCTCCCTCTTCCCCCTCTCTTCTCCTTTTTCCCCTTAATCTCACTTTTATACGGCCTTTTCCGGTAATATTCAGCGGTTTTCGTTTGATCTCGCTTGTTTTTTACTTGTTTGGTTTTAATATTTCTTTTCGTTATATCGCAAAATGTATCGACACTTATCGCAGATGTACGGCGGATCGGAGTAAAGAGGAGCGCCAAGGAATCGCCTTTCGTGTTATTACGCGTGTGATTAGTAACGATGCTCAAATTACATCGTTACAACCTTAATTCGTTCTACGTTCCCACGAATATTGCAGAAACGAGTCTGGTATACCCTATATATTTCTAAAAAAAGAGTAAATATTTTAAAACATCATTATATTATCATTTATTTTACCACAAGTTTCGATTTCGCATCTCTCTATTTTGCATATTCTATTTTGTTTATTTACATCTATTTTAAACACGCTGTATTTATATATTTTACTTTTTGAAATTTGAATACATGTTTATTTTATTTAAAAATGCAACAAACAAAAGAAAGAATAACTAAAAAAAAAAACATTTATTTTATCTTCAAATTCTTCTAAATCTTTAATAAATTGCAGGAAATCATTAAGGAAAGGGAAGAAGAACGGGAGAAACTACGGAAAGAATTGCGTAGAAGTAGAGAACGTGTACATGCACTTGACACTGACGTACAACGCCGTGAATTTTCGGGAGCAATAACTGTGACATCTTATACGCAAACGGCACTTGGTTAGTTTTTTAATTTTCATTCAGTTCAACTTGACTTTCTAATATTACTTTATAGAATATATTTAACTCGGGAATATGCGTGCTTTTCTCATTTTATCACATTTATCTGTTTTTTTTTTTTTTTTTTTTTTTTTTTATCTATCAATTTTTTAATAATTGTATATTTTATTTTTCACATAAATTTGTCTTACAGATTATAGCCCAGCAAACATAGAACATAACTGTGATATAACACAGGAGTAACATGTAATATAATTGCTGTTATACGTTATTAATATTGAGGTTACTTAATTTCCTTTATAATTGCGATATAAATGTTATAAAACTGTTATGTTATTATGTTATTTATTGGTTAAGTTACACCAACAATATTACAGCAACATAACTTTAATATAACATGTTATATAAGAAGTCTAATATTTGCATTACCTTTTAGTTTTGCAATATTTTTATACACAAATGTGAAATTATATTTTAGTTATGTTTCTCGTATATAAAATGTGATATTTTAATATATGCAAGGATCGTTATCACGATATTGTAAAACTAGAATTCCTATAAAAAGAGTCTAATCATAACTTTACTCTATCAAAATATTGTGAGAGAGAAAGAAGGAATATTCTCTCTCTTTTGCACGTTGTAGATTAAAATTTAATTATTGATACAACATTGTATCAATATTAATCGCATTGTGATTGTTGTTACGTCGTGACAAACATTTACCAATAAATATGTTATGACATTTTTTAACGATATAAGAGTATGTTGTAAATATCATCTACCAAATTATCGTTACAGCGCATCGGCAGTTCCCGTACTATCGTTAAAGTTATTAAGCATTGAATAACATGATGTAAAAATAAGATGACCACTTGACACAGGATCGAAACCACGCGAGTTTCACGAATAAGTGAAATGACACGAAATATAAAATGCCAGTTTTTTTTATTATTTAGACAAAATAATCATATATTATCACTTATTTGAACTATACTAATGAATAAATCGTTGGAATTCTACAAAAAAATATGTGTTTGCTGGGATATTACTTAGTTATTTTGCAGTTATATAATATTAATTGATGTTCTTATATAACCATAATATAATATGATATATTACATGTTACATCTATGAATGGGAAATAATAACATAACAGTAACGTATCAATAACTTTCATGCAATATTATCTGTTATAATCATTTCTATTGCAGTTATATAATATTGATATAACTGTGTTTGCTGGGAGGTTAGTTTTTCTTTGCATAGTAAGCAACGGAATATATTTATTTTAAGTAGCAAGTTGGTGTCAAATAACGTATTAATGACATCTCTAACCAGTGATAGAAACTTTGACTCCCGAGCTGCACGTATTAGCGCAGGAGGGGATACGCACACACTCACATGACTGTGTTCGTGAGGCTCACGGATACGGTCGCGTGAGTGATGCGTATCCCCTCCCGTGCTGATGCGTGCTGCTCGGAAGTCAAAGTTTCTATCACTGTCTCACGTTGATAATACGTTATTAATGCGTTACTTGACTATGTCATTACGTTTGCTGGAGAGCGTGTGTGAAGCTGGTACATCATTTTTTAGCACCGCAAATTTTGACATTAGTTATATTTGCACTCACAATAATTCTATAGTTCCTGATAGGTTATAACAATAGTTCCGTCGAATTAATAAAAAAGCGAAAACATGAGGTGCCAACTTCTCGTGGCACCGCAACATTTAAGACATTTTTTTTTTATAATTTTATTTTATAGTTCTCGAAGTGCTCTATAGTTCCTGATACGTTTTCCGGCCTCTTAAATATTTTTAAACTTAAGTGCCAGCACCGCACCGCAAACTTTGGAGTGCTTGCAGTTTTGGCCGACTTTTTGGCGTTTTCTGGTAGTACTGTAATAGTTCCAAAGCTTCCGAAATGTCTTAGCGAGAGTTCCGGCTTCAAACTATTTTTAAATCATTTTTTAGTTTTACCGCTGATACTGCATTCAAGAATAAACTCTGAGGTTCTAACAGTTCTGGCCAACTTTTTGGCGTTTTTCGGTAGTACTGCAATAGTTCCAAAGCCTCCGGTATGTTTTAGCGAGAATTCCGACCTCTAATTATTTTTAAATATTTTTTTTAAATTTCACCGCTGACACCGCATTCAAGAGTAAACTCTGAAGTGCTGGAAGTTCTAGCCGACTTTTTGACGTTTTTTAATAGTACTGCAATAGTTCCGAAGCTTTCTATAGGTTTTAACGAAAGTTCCTGCCTCTAACTATTTTGAAATAATTTTTTAATTTCACCGCTGGCACCGCATCCAAGAATAAACGGTGAAATTAAAAAATTATTTACAAATATTTAGGAGCCGGAACTCTCGCTAAAACATACCGGAGGCTTTGGAACTATTGCAGTACTACCGAAAAACGCCAAAAAATTTGCCAGAACTGCTAGCACCGCAGAGTTCTCAGTAAGCAAGAAACATGAAATCAACTTTCTAAAACGTTGATATTATGTATAATTTAGTAATATTTCTTCATAATATTCTACGAATGTTTCTAAAACGTTGCTTAATAATATTACATTTCAAACATTAAAGAAATGTTTTAAAAACATTTTAAAACATATTTTTTTAATGTTGTTCCGAAATAACCAAGAAACATTAAATTAACGTTTTTAAAACATTGATATTATGTATATCTTTGTAATGTTTCTTTATAATATTGTATAAATGTTTTTAAAATGTTGCTTAATAATATTACTTTTTAAGTATTTGAGAAATGTTCTAAAAACATTCCAAAACATATTTTTAGAATGTTGTTGACAAATAAGCAAGAAACATTAAATTGTTTAAACAATTAACATATTTAAAACGTTGATATTATACATATTTTTGCCACATTTTTTCATAATGTTTTATAAATATTTTTAAAATGTTGTTTAATAATATCCCTTACGACACCGAATATTGCGATATGGTTACAAACTTACACATTTTAACGAGCATGTTACTGAAATATACCATTAACCTTACAAGATAACTTTATAATTGTTATAATATTGTCATAAAGTTAATATGCTCTCTAATATTTCATCAAACTTATGTGTATTTTTTTCACTTTTTGTGCATCCTGAAAATATAAGGTGTAGTAAAAAGAAATCCATTATTTTTGCATGAAATTGAAGGCTTTATTTAGCATAGTTAGAATGATCCGATTTAGGTTAAATATGCATCGTTTTGTTCGATAACTTGTTGCCATTTTGAAGGTAATTCCATTATGCCTCTCTCATAGAAACCCTTGTCCTTATTGGCAAAAAACTAGGACAGTCGATTTTCACAAGCTTCTCTTGAGGCGAATTTTTCACCAGCAAAATCATTCGCCATAGACAGGAACAAGTGGTAATCACTTGGTGCCAGGTCCGGACTATAAGGTGGATGCATAAGAACCTCCCAACCAAGCTCCCAGAGCTTCTGGCGAGTCACTATCAATGTGCGTGGCCTGGCGTTGTCCTGATGGAACACAATTCCTCTCCTATTGGCCAAAGCTGGCCGCTTCTGGGCGATTGATTCCTTCAGACGGTCCAATTATTGACAGTACAGGTCCGAATTAAGAGTTTGGCCGTAGGAGAGCAGCTCATAGTGGATGATTCCCTGCCAATCCCACCAAACACACAGCAAAGCTTTTCTGACCGTCAATCCTGGCTTGACCACCGTTTGCGCCGGCTCACCGACCACGACCGTTTTCGCTTGACGTTGTCGTAAGTGACCCACTTTTCATCACCAGTCACCATCCGCTGCAGAAATGGGTCGATTTTGTTGCGATTCAGCAGCGATTCGCAGATGGAAATTCGGTCCATGAGGTTTTTTTGCGTTAACTCGTGTGGCACCCATACATCGAGCTTCTTTTTGTATCCAGCCTTATTCAAGTGGTTCCAAACGGTTTTTTGTGCAATGTTTAGCTCCTGGGCAATCGAAACAGTGTTTACATGACGGTCGGACACGACGATTTCCATTATTTTATCGACATTTTCGACAATTGACCTTCCAGAGCGTGATGTATCTTTGACATAAAAATTACCGGAACGGAATTGACGAAACTAAAATTGCGCGTGATTGGCTGTTATAGTATCAGGACCATAAACACTATTCACATTTTCAGCCGCCTGGCTTGCGTTTTCACCTTTATCGAAGAAAAACTGTAAAATATGGCGTATTTTCTCTTTGCTGGTGTCCATCTTTGACGCGCGCTCAAACAATACTGAGTCAAACAATCACAAAACTGTCTGAGAAGTTTTTTTAGTACGAAATCTTATCTTCCTAACGCCATCTAGCGTAAACCGATCGCACTTATACAACGCGAGATACACATTACTAAAGCCATCTATTGGAAAAATAATGGATTTCTTTTTACTACACCTTATATTAATAGGAACATAGTTTATTAATAATCACTTAATTGTATATACAAATTTTGTTCATATATACAATTTACTTGATTACGAAAATAAATATAACTAAATAAAATTAAAATATTATTTATAAAATTAACTCTAGGTAGTATTCACTACACGCTTCAAATGCTTTGAACAATCGTTAAGACCAATATTCATCTTTCAGTCAGTGCTCCAAAGCGTTTGTAATGTTAAAACTTACGTAAACATATTTTACATAAATATTTTATGTATATATCTTTGACTTTTCTTTTATTATATGAAATATTTGAACTAAATAATTTATTTTTGTAGTTGTACTAAATGATATTATAATAAGAAAATTATAATTACTGCTTCGGCTGCATATGACGATAATAAAAAAACACTTCCCAGTAAGCAAAAAATCATTAATACAACGATGCTACAATGATATTGAAGAACCTGTAATATTATTATATATGTAGTGTTTAATATTGTATCAAACATCATTATAAACATACTTTGATTTGGAAGTTTTAATAATGTTGAGATAGTGTTGCCATATCGTTTTAATGCAGAAATATTTTTAACATGTTGCATTGATCTCAAATAAATGTTAAAGTAACATTTGAAAAATATATTTTTTGTAATGTTTTTAAAACGTTTAAACAACATTCAGAAAAATTATATTACAAAATAACATGTGAAACATATAAATACAATATTATTAAAAAATATCCAAACAATGCATATGAAGTCAACGTTTCTAAACGTTAATTTAATGTTTCTTGCTTATTGGGTTAATACAAGTTGAAGAAATAGCGCAGTAGCTAAAGTGATACACTAGAAACCTGGAAGTTGTCTGAGGTCTCGAGTTCGCGTCCGACCAGTACTGAGTAAATTTTCAGGTGTAAAAATAGTGCGAAATCAAATAAAAGAACTAAATTTCATTTAAAATCAACATAAGCTGACTAGTTGCGATTGTTTCTGCAAGATATATTTTTTATTAAAAATATTGAAAGATTATAGGCATATTATATTAACCTTAATGTAACGTTCTGCAAGATTTCTGTAATGTTATTTATATCTCATATTTTAAAAATTTCGTTTTTTTATTCATTCTATTATTGTTATAACCTATCAAGAATTATAGAACTATTGTGAGTGCAAATAGAACTAATGTCAAAACTTACGGTGCTAAAAAATGAGGGGCTAACTTTGCACACGCGGGGAACATATGACAAACGGCGTGTGACATGTTTATTTTTATATAAACATATAACATATATCGCTATTTTAATTGTGTAAATTTTGTTTATTTCTACAAATTATAATACGTACAATTTTTACTATTATATATTACTAATATATTTTATCTATAAATTTATATTGAATATTTATAGGTGAATAAAAATAAAATACATTTTTCAGTAAAATTATTGCATAGTTGAATTCGTATCAAACGGAAGGTGTTAAAAAAAATATTAATTTTGGCCCCTATACGGAAAGTGAATAATCCTTAAAAAAATTGTTGTCTGGGTCCTCAGACTGAATATAAAAATTGATAAAATTTATCTTTTTCTGTGCAAATTAGTTTTTAAGATTTTTTCACGTCGCTAATTTTGATTGAATAAATGCGTTTTATAAGCAATACAGTTATATGTGGATCTATACATTACTAAATTTAGATAGAATTATTCGATGCAATGCTTTGTAATATACATAAACGCAAAATAAACAAAAGATTGATAAAAACAAGTGCAGCAGGTTGTTAAGTGTCGCGGAAGAAAGAAGTTACTACTGTTTTGGACAATACTCATTATAACAAGGACAATGTCCTTGGAGTGACATCCCAGACAGCACAAAATATTTATAAAACATTTACAAAGTATTTATAAGATTTATTTGATTATTTTATAAATATTTATCAAAATATTTCATAAATAATTTTGTGATCTTAGATTCAATAGGTCATAAATATTTATTATAAATATTATAAAAATATTTATTAAAGTATATACATTTATATACATTTTTCTCTTTTCTTGAATTTTTCTTAAAATTTTCACTTTATTGTTTCACACGCTACTTAATTCAATTTAAATTGACTTCGAAAATTTGCTTACCATTGCTGAGATTCGTACCTGAGACCTCTAGTTCTTCAATTGTTCATTTTTTCTACTGCACCACTGTCACTTTAACTGAAAGACGCTTCGTATTATACAGGCTGTCCCACATAAGACATCCAAGAAGAAAAATATAAGTGGAACAGATAAAAGTGAAAAAATATTGTAGAGGTCATTTTTCGAACAACCACTTAAAATTTCGAGTTATTCAATAAAATAGATGGGCCAATCAGAGCGCACGACATGACAGGTGGGATATACGGCTTGCCGCGGTCGGCGAAGAAAATGGACGATTGCTCGCGAGTCTATCTTATTGGCCAGAGAGGTGAGCTGTTTGGTAGCATACTGAAATAGATAGCTCCGTGGCTCGTCCATTTACTTCACTACCTGCGGCGAACCGTATGTCCAGCCTGCCGCGTCGCGCGCTCTAATTTTCTCATCTATTTTTTTAATAACTTGAAGACTGCGTTCGGAGAGACGCTATTTAGCGCTATGAGCGCGTTATGGCCGTTCGAGGAGACGCTTTTTATCGCTATAAAATCAATAATGACGTCACTCTAAAAGTAGCGTGACGTCATCACTCGCGTTATTTTTTGCTATTATTTTTTAGATGAAGCGCCAAACATTCATAGTGCTCATAACGTTCTTAGTTCGCTATACGAACAATTATGAATCTATTTTTAACAGACCTTATGTTTTCGTCCCGTTGAATTGTGAAAGTATACATGTATTATATACATTTCCGCTTATATTATATGCTATCCGCCACGTGTATAACATGTATCACTTCATCGTCATCATTTTCTGACGACGAGAAGTCAACAAGTTCCTGCAAAATTGCAACAATACCATTCTTAATTATAGCTTGTTGCAATGGAGATCAATATTTTCTCTATTCATATTAAACTTGCAATCGCAATTGAGCATTAGCGTCTCATAGCGTGTCAACAAATTCTTCAAACGCTATCGTTATTAGCCCGACGCTTTTGGATAGCACGCTGACGCTATCGCACTATTGGCTCCCCGAACGGTGTGTATAGCGTTAGCGTCTCATAGCGCGACAGCGAACTATCCGAACGCAGTCGAAATTTTACGTGGTTGTTCAAAAAATAACTTCTACAATATTTTTTTCATTTTTATCTGTTCTACTCATGGACGTAAGAATACATGGACGGAGCATACTGTCGCGGGGGTGAAACCCAAGGGGTGAGGGAAATGATTGTATGTATTGTAATGGAGTTGATATATCAAGATGGCGACGGTCGCTGTTTTTATACAGTGAAAATATATATAATACTCCTCTACCAACATGGCTGCGACGATGTAATTCTCTTGCCTCTTAGGGTTCACAGCCTCTTGTTTATAATCGCACTTTGCGCTCTGTCCATGCATTCCCAGACAAGATAATGTTTAAAGACGTCATTAAGATGTCATTAGAACGTCATAGACGTCACGAAATCACTATAGAACGTAAAAAATAAGAGAATTTTCGTGAATTTTTTTTAAGAATGTACTTGTCCCATCGCTTCCCAACTTTGTAGTGTTTTTGTTTGTACATTAAAGTATTAAAAAAATATTTTTATGTTAAAAAAATGTTTATAAATTGTATGTAGTAAAAGAAATATTGAGCGTCGCGGCAAAGTCGGCGCAAAACGGTGTGCACTCTGGCTCCTGTTGTATACGTCTGACACCAAAATAGGGAAAAATTTTTTACTTTTTATAGACATAATTTGTCGATGAACCTAAACAAGTTGAAAAGAAATTTTGTAATTGACAAGAAAGCAGCTCTAGAATCAAAAGTTCGATTTTTACTCATAAAAGTCCATCTTTATATATGCGAAAAAATTGTTTAAATAAATAATGTTATGGATTTTATAGGTTCATCGACTATCAAATATAATAAACTAAATGTATATAAAAGGACAACTCGATTGGTCAAATGGTTTTTGAATTATCTTGCACACCAGTTTGGAAGAAGTTGTTTCGAGAGAAACGCATTTAAAGTTTCAGGTATAAAAAATTGTTAACTTACAGCTGTTTTCTGCTAATCCGCTATTCTTGCCCCAGTAAACCTTTCGCTTTTTCAAACAAGTCATTTTACTCAAGTTAATGTTGTTTATTTGCTATTCGAGCCTTTTTACTGCAACTTAGGCTGGGGCGCTCCTGTCTCTTTATTCGCTCGGCGTCCTTACTATCAGCATATAACTTACAAAGAGGCCCAATTTTAATTTCTAATATTTCCATTATCTTCAAAACAGCAAAGTAGTCTTCATTAAATATCCCAGTAGCAATATAGGCGGTGATCTCGGTGATTATAAGGCCAAACTGTACATGCTTTGGAACTAACCGCTAAATCGTACTATTAAAACTTTTATTCGCATTTTTTGTGCATATACTCACCTAAACACTTTTCTAATAGATCTTTCTTAGGATGTTTTTTTCCGTTTATTTCCGTTTTTTCAAACAGATTTTTCGGAACAAAACTGTTGCAAGTCATTGTGCGCTCAGACCTCGCCTCATGCGCTCGTATCTGTGTGCGAAAAATGGTCCTATATGATCATTTAGATTTTGAATTTCAAAATCAAACTTTGGGAATATATTCTATACATATAGTACTATTAATTAAAGCAAAAACAAAATTCGATTTTTGTGACCCTCTATAGTTTTTCGAAACAAAGCCGTTGCAAGTCATTGTGCGCTCAGATTTCGCCTCATGCGCTCGTACCTGCGTGCGAGAAATGATCCTATACGATCATTTAGATTTTTAATTTCAAAATCAAACTTTGGGAATATATTCTATACATATAGTACTATTAATTAAAGCAAAAACAAAATTCGATTTTTATGACCCTCTATAATACTTTCCCCCTTTAATGACGTCTTTAGACATTACCTTGTTACCTGGGTACTTACATCTATGGTTCTACTTATATTTTTCTTTTTAGATTATTTTTCGTTAAATTATTTTTTCGTCTTATGTGGGACACCCTGTATACATATGGTATATTCATGTATGAAAACAAATGATTTATTTAAAAGAAGAAAATAGATCCTTTTAAATGTAAAAAGTATGTTTAAAAAGTATATAAAAAATATATTTAAAAAATATTTACTTGTTTTAAAAGTAAGTAAAATACAAATAAATCATTTTGTAAATTTAAATAAATTTCTTTATGATAATAAAAGAAACTTTAATTTAAAACACATTAAAGATACTTTTAATAATAGAAAATAATTTATTTAGACTTATAAAATAATTTACTTGTATTTCATTTATTAAAAGATACTTTTAATAATAGAATTAATAATAGAAATAATTTATTTAGATTTATAAAATAATTTATTTGTATTTCATTTACTTTTAAAACAAGCAAATTTTTATTTAAACAGTTTTTCCATTTAAAAAAAAAACTAATTTTCTTCTTATAAGGAAATCATTTGCTTATTCTTATGTATGGATATTTTAAATCAAAGAAATAATTTTTTTATCTAGAAATTCATAATTTTACAGCTCATTTTATAAATTTAAAAAATATTACTTTATATTTATTACACGTTTTTTAAAATCTAACAAATATTTTTTAAATTAAGAAATTATATTTAACAAAATATATTTCTTTAATTTAAAGAAAAGTCGAAACACTATTTTTGTGAAAATTGGCATCTAGGAGTTTTTCAGGATTACGAATCCGCTATCAGAATCATTAATCTGGAATTTAAAATAATGAATAAAAAATGTGATATTTATTCCAGACAGCATACAATATTTATGATAAATATTTATTTCGAATTATTTCTTAAAAATATTATATAAATATTTATAAAAATGTATATAATATTATGTAAATATTATAAATATTTATATAATATTATATGAATATTATAAATATTTATATAATATTATATAAGTATTATAAATATTTATATAATATATAAATATTTTATAAATATTTATAAATACTATGGGTAATTATCGACTTTAGGGAAGACAGCTCCAATGACCTTGATCTTGACATATGTTGTAGAGGTCACCTTCCTGAGTAACTCTCAAAAGGTTTTAGCCGTCGCTCGTTGTTTGTTAAAAAGTTATTAACAAAAGAAGTTGCATAAAATGAGTATAATTTTTGGACATATATACAAAAA